CGGAAGGCGCTGGGTGCCCCGCGACGGGGGGTACCGGGGAGAGCCCCCCGCTCCGGCTCCTGCGACTCACCCATCGCTGGGCTGGGAGCAGAGCGGGAGCTGGTCCGTGCACGAGCCGGGCTGCTGCTTCTCCACTGCGGGGAGGTCAAACACCAGCTTAAAATTGACTTTTTTGTAAGTAACCGTCACACTTGAAGCGTTATTTTAAAAGTTAGACCTTTTGTACAAGCCTAATGATTTCTGTTCAGAGAAAAACAGACCTAGGGACTCTTGCAAAGCACAGACTTAGTTATGATTAAGATGGTACGTCAGCACAAATCCAATAGCGAGCATGTCACTGAAGACTATAATATGCTTAAAACTAGGCATCTGGTATGTATCTTGTTGAATTAAGCCTATGATAACAAATGTGAAATAATCCCCAAGAGAATGATGAAAAATAAAAATGTACTTCTGTAATTCATTTTCACATAAGCACCTGGCCTTTACTGCTCCAAGTTATGATATTTCCCTGTAATGTAAGACCTCACTGCAGTATTTTGCGACTAGGCTTCTTCCGAAAATCAATTCTCTGGTGAGAATTAGTGGATTTGAAGATTAACTATGTGAAAATTGAAAAGGTTTGCTGCAGAGGGAATGCCACAGAGAAATTGGTCAAATGTACCTTTTATAAGCTCCTGCTGCCTGAACAAAATTTTTCTTATTTCATTCAACCATGCCATCTTCAGATCTACTGTTTGGGCCTGGAAGAAAAGAAAATTGTCTGAGTTATAACGTATGAGTAAAATCTTACTTTTCTACGCTGTAATTATCTGAAATTCCCTTTTATCCAAAGCCACCACGAAATTTTAAATATTCTTGATCTTTTAAAATGGACGATCGCCACTACATCCAGGAAAAACACAGTGGAAATTGCGGAGCCATCACAACAACACAAGAAGTGCAGGGAAAAGCACGTTGCGTGTGTGCATGCATCTTAGCTCTTCTACAAAACACCTAAAGGGCCAAATCTGCCTTTTGAATATATGTATACTTGGCTACATGCATCTGCTTTATGCATTTAAGTTGGCAACTGTGTTGTAACATGGAGAAAAAAGGCAGAAGACTAATTAAAAAAAATTAAAAAAAAAAAAAATCAATCAACAGTATTTTCACAACGGGTTTTCCTGTGAACACCCCATTACACAAACATTTCACCGTCAGAAATTTCTATTCAAAATGCTACAAAAGGAAAAAAAAAGCCAACAAACAAGAAGAAATCAGGCCAGTTGGGATACTGTTTTGTAGATGAGTCGGAAGACTACGGGAAATAGCACCACGGAGCCTAAGCCTTTGCTCTGGGAGCAGTTCTGACATCTAATTGTAGAGGAGCACATGAGGCCCCTTTCCCAGCTCAATTCACATAAGCTATTAAGCACAGTAAAACCACTGGTCTGTTTGAGATTTCATCTGGAGTAAAAGGCTCCGGACTAGACACCAAGGACCAGCCGCTGCGACAGCTCTGTGAACGCCGACACAAGCAAAGAGGAAGAAGTTAATTGTCTGATAATCCCATAAAGATCAATGGGAGACATTCCCTTAACACTGTTATGAGGCCGTAGAAATATCCAGATTTTTGAAGCTACAAACCTGCACGACATAGACCTCTTCTCGCCCACTATACCAGATTTCAAATTTCCGATGATCTCCCTTCACATTCTCAGTTATTCCAACTGCATTCATCTGCAAACCCAAAAGAACCAAAAAATTAAACACACTACAGATCTTTCCCTCTTCCCTATGAACCCAGGCATTTTGCAGCATGTTAAACAAACCTGTTTTCACCCAATTTCACACATTTCACCAACTTTCATTTCAGTAGCAAATGAAAGTCATTACCTGGCTTATCCCCCCTGATTTTCCCCCAGCTTGCTGTATTTGTAAAAGCCTTCTGAAACCAATCAACAGACCCTTAGGGGACTTTTCATCTGGGAATCAGTGGAACTCACTGAAAAGCCATCTCATACCTCTTTCAGTATGAAACTTCTCAGATGAGGCTGATGAAGCTTTATAAACGCGTGGCGCGTTATTTTTCTACATACATTATTTCTGCCATATTACTCTTTATTTACTCACTGAATTCTGTGTTTTGTTCTTTCACCGAGCCTTAAACCCCATTTGCGAAGCCTTTAACTCCTTTAGGAATTTCAGTTCAACGTCTTTTGGTCCCTGCCCATTCCTGTAGTCGAGACATCATTCCAAGGCTTCCAAAAGAAGGGTTAACTTTATACAGGCTGAGCTGCCGTAAATTTGGCTTTCAAGAGGGACGCAGACTCCAAGCTAGATGTGGCTGAATGCTGCTGTACGTAGGTACCCATTATCACAGACCACTTTTGGCAAGTTGAATGGAAACGCAAAAGGCGGAAATAATTCAGGATTTGCACAACGTGACCCACCTGAATCGGTAGCTCAAACTATGATTAGAGACCAAAAAACTCTTCTGCAACAGGAGAGCTCGGACCTACTTGCTGAACATGCCATGAAGCTGAAAAATGCTTTAATAGCTGGTATTGCATAAACCATCCTCTCACTTTAGGCACAGCTTGCTAGCAATTCATCGCCGACTAATGGACGGTCAAACACCGCTGAAGTATCCTGCTCACACGTTTTGAAATAGGTCTAATAATAATGGTGTCATCCATCACGAATGATTCACAGAGACTATATTGGATAAATCCAGTATAAATACAAATAAGGCCTTAGAAATAACATCTGTTTAACATTGCTGTTCCTCTCTGTCGGTACGTGCATCCTCAGAGCTTTCGGTCTGAAAGACTGCGAGGATTTACAGATTAAGTCACCTGGGCAAACTTTCTGTCCCCAGTCACTTTTTCAAACGTTGGCACCTGCTTCCAGCGACTACGAACAGCCTCGGGAAATCGGAAGCAAGTTGCTAATTGGCTTTCCTCGTTTCTTCACTGGCATGAACAGCAGAGCTCTCCTGAACTTGTGAGGAAGCGTTTGCCTCCAGACGGGAAGGGCCCGTCACCGAACAGCGGTGGGTATTTCCCAGCCGCTCTTTGCCTCGCGTCCCTCTCAACCCGGTCCTGCACAGGCACCTTCGACAAAAGCCGAGAGATCTGCGCCGAAGAATAGGGCTGAGATTGCAAGAAGGAGACTAAAGCCAGCGACCAGCTGCACATCCGCAGTTTTACACGCATCTACTGGGATTTAAAAAAATGCATCGGTTAAAATCTGCAGCACAGTCCTGAACATTTTGAAAAATTTTATCCTGCGCAATGCTGCTTTCGAAAGCTGGCTCAGGCTCCGTTCTGATTTTATGACAACTTAAAAAGCTTGAAAGTTTAAAAAAAAAATTACGAAAGATGTTGAAAGGGCAGCCCAGAGAGCACCTCATCCAGGCGCTGCAATTTCCATCCCGTGCCTCTCCTTTGGCATGGCAGTTTCTACGGAGGCTTCTAGAAAACTGCCTGGGCATCAGACATTAGAAATCTCAGATAATCTACTAGGAGAATGCAAAGGAAAATGCCAGGAATAGATGTATTTACGGTCTGTTCATTCGTATTAGTGGATTTTGACATTCTCTTTCCTCCCCCTGAGCGGGATTCACTGTCCCTCAGCTGCTGGCTCACCGCAACGCAGGGCGAGGTGGGTCAGGGATGCTCCTCGTCTGCCACCGCCTTCCGCGGCGGTACCAGGCAGACTGGTTTACTTGGCATTGCAGTGAGTTACCAGTCTGCATCCTCTAAGTTACTGAATCTCAGCTGAAGAGGTATTTACCACTGGGTATTTTACACAGTATGTAAAATACTATCCTGAGGGGTTCTTTGTTTGTTTTACAGACATCCAGTTACACAGCTTCTACCCAACAGCATGCTTTAAGTCTGAATCCCCGGAAAACATTCTTGCAGAGAAACATAATTTCCTGATACTATCATGAATCAAACAAATGTCAAGCTCCAGAAACACGATTTCGCCCTCAGGACGGGAATTCGGAAAATGGATGTGTGCAGATGTAATCCTGCAGCATCCGTGGATTTCTAACCCCAACCTCTCCGCACGGCAACGCGAACAACCGGAAAATGGGCCCTCCCAAGACAAAGATAAACCCTGGCCCCATTGCCTGGACTCCTGAACACGGTTTTCTCGTGTTTTTCTCCTAGGTAGGTTTTCTCCTCCGAGCAGGCTTTTCCCATGCTACCTCTTCAGTTCTTTCAAAAGCACGTATGGTAAAACAAGTAACACGGGGAAAACAAGCTCTCCGGAAAGAAAATGATGCTGCTTGGGAAAAACATTTAAGTACCGAAACATATGGCCTGGGATTTGGTTTTAATACACAATTTGTAACAGGCACTGGAGCTGAACAGACTTATCTACTATGACATGGCTTTCCCACTACTTGTGGTATCTCCCGGCCCAGGCCCCACGGAGATCAGGGACCTCCAGCACCTGAAGGCTCTGCCTGCAAGTGCCCATTTTTTTCCATTCTAAGATATACCACGTTGGGTTTTTATTTATCAAGAAAAACAAGGCAGAGTACTGAGACAAAATGGTGATGTTAGAAGTGCTCATCACATGCAGTACGCCAGAAGGTCTCTTTCAGAGGAGCAGTTTGGGATTTTTATTGATAAGTTAGCATATATAGGCTTGGGACAGTTGTTTATGTCCCTCATAGTTTGCCATAGGCTACTCTCTTCATCTGATAATCGTACTTTCAGCTGCAGTTAGAGCCTGCCAAAGGAGAAAGGCAATCAGAGAGGAAGAAGAGTTATCTCTGCATCCTCCTGGCTGGGAAACAGGAGCAGCCATGCAGACCCCAGCCCAAGGGACCTCCCTGGGGACCAGGGGCGTGAGGAGGCCCCTTGCTCTCCCAGGTGGGCTGGGAAAGATGTGAAAGGCTCCCCACCCCCCGCAAATTTCATGCCCTCACCCCTGCTCCTGGAAAGCAGGCTAGGGGAGGGGGGAAGGCACGTTCTCCTCCCTGGGACGTGCTCCATTTCCCTGGCACATGCCATCACGGATGTGACTCTGAGGCCATGGGCTCTCCCAGCTGCCGCTTCAGCTGTGGGGGTCCTCACAGCTTATTACAACCGAAGGGCATGGCACTGCCATATGAGGCATTACAGCCCTTAATAGCAGAAAAGAAGCCACTGTGTTAGAGGAAAAATACTCTCAGGGTCTGCAGAGTTACTGATGTACAATATACATGGCAATGGCTCCAGCTAAAAAGTCCTTACTTTCAAAAAATGCTTAAAACTGTAAGATGAGGTTTTGTCATATCCATCTCCATGTTCCTCTCGCTTCTTACAGAAGACCAAGGCTTTCTCATACAGGAACAGATGCCTCTGCATTGGCTTGAACCTGGCAAGATCCTTCATTTTTGTCGGACCTTTCCGGTGTCCTGTCCAAACACTGAAAGATCCTTGCATCAATACTTTCCCCAGTTCGCTCAGGTCACCCTGTGAGAGTATGACAAATAAAAAAAGAAAGAAAAAGACATCACTTAAAATGTAAGAGAACTGTTCAAACAATGACGGGCAATGGGGCCAGCCCTGTTCCAAGGCATGTCACTCTAAGAATAGATCTTCCTGGAAGGATCAGATGATCTTTTGGGAGTGATGGCATGGTGCCAGGAGGGAAGCAGAGGTCTCGGACAGAGCGCTGCGGCTAGCTTACGTGAAGGGATACAAGTCAGTAACTGGAAGAACTAGGAAGATAGGAAAACTCTCCAACTCCTACGGAAGTCCAGGTCAAGGGCTCTGGCTTCTTCACTGGGAGCGGGCAGATGAGATTAGAGCCTGAACTGAGGTCTCGGAGGATGGATTTCTCGGGGAGGCCAGGACTGGAACCAGTAGCTTAGAAAGCCATCCCCTCTCCCTTCCCTGAAACCCTAGGAAAGAAAACTGCTTCAATGGGCAAGGATCAAAATCAGCCTCAGAGCATATTTAGTTAAGTGTTGAATGAGAAATGCTGTGAAGGCACCCCAGGTGAATTACAAGGTGAGAGAACGAAAATGCACGCTGGAAAAATACTCTGGAGAACCACAAGGTGGCAAGTGTGGGCACTACGTGACTTTGGGTATGTCCTTTGGATGCGGATATTTTCCAAAATCCTGAAATCAGATGGAAGACTGCCACCTGTAAGAGCTTCCTGATCCCAAAGCTACACTTTGTAGCTGTTCTAGTATAGTTTTTAGTTCGTACATTCTGGGACGCTATCCATTCCCGGGGCATCATCCGGCCTTGTGCAAGGTCTCTCATTACCCAAATCTACTCACATCATATCCTGTTATTGAAATCTGATGCATAGAGTCATTGACTGACTTTAGCAAATCCAACATTGCAACCAGAGCTTCTTGAAGTTCCTGAACTCCATCACAGCTCGTGCTGTACTTTAGCAACTCCTGAAAATAGAAATGGAAGAGCACATGTTTGCACCTGAACAAAACAGACTTTTCCATCTCACCCAAAGTTTCCAATGCCCCAGAGCAACCTACGCTGCCTGACTTTCTTTTCTCATATGTCACTGGAAAAAAGACCCACTCTAAACCATGGTCAGTATGAGGTGTGGAACAGACCACTGAAGCATGGCCCATTTTTTCTGAGTTTCCTTAAAGATGGTGTCAGGTTATAAAGCAGCACCACGCTCATCTGAGTTCTTTGTGTTGTGTTTTCCGGCTTGGTAAGAAATGGGAAATAAGGCTCAGGTTTTCCATCATCTGCAAATATGTCATATGTGCCTTCAAATGAGATTGCAGCCGATGATGGTCTTCAGACTGGCAGACACAAGGAACAGATTTTATAAAATCCAGAGCCTTCAAGTCAACAAACAGAAGACAGAGTTGGGAACTATAGCACTGATATAAAATTACTTTCATTTCAGACCTCCTCTGCCCACTTACAGCTTCTTGTGTACCCATCCCTCATTCAAGAAGCTGCAAGATGGGGTTCAGAAGCCACCACCCCACTGTTGTTCACACTCTATAAAGTGGGAATACCAGCACTGCCCTGCCTCACAAGGGGGACACAAGAATAAATGCATTAAAGATGACAGGCACTATAACAACCCAAGGAGAACAAGAGATGCATCAATACAATCTATTTCACTCATCAAACACTTATGATCATCTCTGCTTCAGTTTTCTTAGAAGTGGTTCTGTCATTTTGCATCTTTAAACATATCCAGTCTTTCTCCCCTTAAAAACAGCTTGTTAAAAGCACTTGTTCCTTTTCTAGTTATGCAAATTTTCATCCTCACTGAAAGTCACTATGGAAGGCCAAGATAAGCAATATGCAATCTAAGGCTTGGTGCTGATTTACAGGTAACCTTTAATCGAAAAATAAAAGAAAACAGAAAACAAATCTATCTCCCGATGTCCTTTCAAAGCAGAATATGAAATACCTTCAGAAGTAACTGGTATTTTGTCAGGCGCTGCACTGGTTTAAGCAAATAGGAATCCAGCCCGAGTTTGTGCTCTAATTTTCTTTGGCATTCCTGGAACAAAGAATTCAGATTAAATACTTTCTGCACCAACTATAAGTAGTTATTCCAACAGCATGACTAATACGGTTTGATGACTTTGAAGATTTCACATAAAAATGTCATACGGTGCCTATAGCTAAAATTTTATAAAAACACGTAAAATAATATAATGAATGGATCTGCCTTAAACTCCTTGGGCACAAGAAACTCCAACTGCTATTTTTGTGAGGCTTCCACGCGACAGTAAACAGAACACGCCACAAAGTCACCGGGGGGCTGAGGAGGGTGTTCAGGACAAGTGAGTGCCGCAGGACGATGCCTGCCTTGGCAGGAACAAACAGCTCACCTGGAAGAAGGTGCTTTCGGAGCACTGCCTCCACAGGGACTCCGACCGGGGCTTGTTCTGGCAGTATTTCTCATACATCTGGAAATCCTCCCGCTGTAAGGGAAGCCGAAAAGCAAGTCACGCACCCGCACGCAAACCTGCTGGGAAGCCAAATTAAGGTGAGCACCCAAACTGTAAATTTGCTTTTCTCCCTCCTGCTAACCGTAATATCTCAAAGTCACGGAGTTTGGGTAAAAGAACCACTGCTGGGAATCACAGCAGAGCACGGCACAGTCACAACTGTTGCTCTCCCCCATCTGCTGCTGGCCACGCACCCACGCTCCCTGCCTTGCTCTTGGTATCACCTATCAGAAGCATCTTACTCCACTGACATAACCGGGATGCTGCAGAACGTGACAAATGAGGAGAAACGCTGGCCTTCAAGTCTGCTTTATACGTGAAAATGAGTTACCAACCCTGTCTAGGAAACAAAATCCCACTCTCTCGGGTGCTCCCAGGCAGCTTTCCAGGCTGTGCAGGAAAATTCTGCAAGAGATGGGGGAAGAGACAACATGCAGCGGTGAGCAAGGTACAGCTTGGGTATTTAATCGTTACAGGAAATCAGTCTGATAAAAAGGGGCAATAGAGCCAGCATCGTACTTGTTGTGGAAGTCGTATATCTCGGGCATGTTTCCGAAGAGGATGTCCTTCCTGTTCCTCAGCACGGGAGGCATGAGGATGAGCATGGCGGGGTTATCCATCTCAGCTCTGTAGCCCTGCGGGATGCAAAAGGGGCCCATCACTCAGCTGGTAAGGCCTTGGCTTGGCATGTCCTCAAAGACAGACGAAAAGGGGATGTGAACAGACTTTCAATACAACCTGCTTTGTTTCAAAGTGCAACATCCCTTTGATTTCCTTATTTTTGTCTCTAAATCCCTGTCTTTCAGTGCCTGGGCGCGCGGGGCTGTGGTCCAGCAGGGCATGGCTTGGGACGGCTCCCGTGGGGCTGGCCAGCGCTGCAGAGATGCCCTCTACTCCCCAAAGGCAAATCACAGCCACTTTCTCCTTGCTGTGGCCTGACTGCGGGAGAGGTCCCGGTGGAAAACTTGTCTGGGTTAAGCCCATTAGCTGCTATGAGCGTGGGACACGGGGAGTGACAACATGTTTGTAGAGGGTATGCAGTTACACGCAACCTCACGAGAACCGGTGCACGAGGTGACCTGCTGCAAAGCAGAGACGGCTTGAGATCAAATACCAGAATTAATGGGCTTTTTGCTCTTGTACAAGACCCACTGAGCGCCAGCATCTCGCTCGCCTCAATGCCTCAGGATTTCTGTCCTCTGTGCCTCCGCTTGCCTCTTGAAATCACAGCCTCCCGAACCAGGGAGGAGCTGGAGGGACATCACTGCACTACAGATTGTTGGGTGGAACTAGGAAATAATGCAAAGGTCCCCTCAGTAACAGCATATCACTGCACCAACGCAAACACATCCACCAGGTGTAGTAAGCATCCTAACTGTAGAGTAGGGAGAAGGCACCGACAGCGCTCACGACCATCACTGCAAAGAAGGCATCAAGAAGGCCATTAGCCACAGCTCAGCCAGAGCTGGCCACGCTAGTCACCCAGCCTTGCACAGAACTGAGGTCCTTTTAACAAGAATAGCAGAAATGTTTGCAAAAATGTATTCACTACGTACAGCATGTCTTCTTTGGCTTTCCAAATTAAGCTCTGACACTCACTCTGGTTGGAATCAGTATTCCTTATACTAAGCAGGCATTTTGTAGCTGATTAAGGATGCTGTAGAAGATAAGTATCTGGAAAATTAGTCATTTACATTTAACCACTGCAAGCAGGCTTCCCTCTTTAAGGGAAATACTGTTTTCAGAAAACGTAAGTCAATCTGTCCTTTTTTCTCCATCTAGACTTGATATGCACAGTAACAAATCTGTGTACCTGCCAACTGCTTTATCATATAGATTGTGGTTTAACAAAAAAACAATCAGGGCAATTACATGTAACTACCTGCAGTCCAACAGATTTATATCCTGCTTGCTCCTGGGTGAGAGAAATCTAAGGGGAGAGAGTTATTTAACAGCCAACTTGTTTTGGCCATCAGCAAGAGTTATTTTGGAATAAAGCAGAAGTGTCTAAAATGGAAGTAAGAGAAATTATAATCTGGTTTCTAAAGAAATGTGCTTTATACGTTGACAAACCTCACAATGTTGAGACAGAATCCTCCGAAGGATAAAACACAAGCTTCTCTCTTTTGTCTCCAAAAGGTAAAAGAAATTAGGGAACAGTTAAAAATACCAGCTTTTTGTACCTTTTTCCAGGTGCTGACATTAATTACCAGTGCTTTTGTGGACAAACAGAAGGCTTCTCCCTCATTCTAGAGGAAAAGCTCATCCTGACACCAACTGTTCCTGCAGATGCCTCCAACAAAGAAAAGCCAGGGAGAAAACTTGAACTTTTATGACTAGCTTGGGATCTGACAGTCTGGTAGAAACCTGCCCCATCACATTTTTACTTAGTTTGACAAAGTGGCAGGTGCCGTTTTGTACAAGTCACCAGGGAACAATAATGAGCAACCTGAAGAAGTCACTCACCGTCAAAACAGTGAAGAGTTCCTCTACGTACACTCTCTCAGTTTCTATAAGCTCATTTATGACATGGCTAAAATAAAGGGAAAGAAAGAAAGATGTTATTTTTATGTCTGTAAAAAAACCAAAGGTAATCAATGCAGTTCAAGCAGCCCAAAACACACTGCAATCTCATGAACAACCAACACAGGGATGATAAAAAAGGTAAAAGCCCAGGTCAGGTTGGAGGAACACATGGATGGGGCAAGGACTGGCCGGAAATAAACACCATTGTGAGTGATGTAAACACGGTGAAAGCTTACCCTTTTAGTATATCTAAGTTGTCATCACTGTCTGAAATAAAAGACTGCAAGGAATTCCGTTTTTCTTGATAGTCGTGCATTACTTCGATCTGGAAGAGAAAAGGGATGCGCTAAGAAGAGCTGCAGAGGCAGGACGAGCCCAGCCCCGGTGTCGGCACAGGACCTCTTCGGGGAAGGACGAAAGACGCCTCCTTTTAAAAAATCCTGTGTGACATAAAACTTTAAAAGGGCATAGTATGTAACGGGTAGCCAAATATTCCTAGAAATTACTCTGCTACATAAAACCTGAAAATACTGGTAACGTAATTCATTAGCGCAGAGACCAGTTTCCACAAGGGAAATATCTGCAGATGTGGAGTTTTCCTAATAGACATCATTGTCACACAAAGAACAAGTTCAGGGAATAACACACGGGAAATCGATATCTGCGTCTTGGAAAAACAATCCGAGATGGATCTCAGGCGCTGGCCTAATCCAACTAAACCACAGGGATATCAAAGGGGGTTTTTTGTTTATCTGTTTTTTAAAGAAAGAAAAAAAAGAGCATCTTCTAATCCAGAATCTAAGTGCAATCAATTTTTAGAAGGGTTTCTGTTTTTCAGTGTATAAAACTCATTCAGATTTCATGAATATTTTTTACCTTGCGAGAACTTGGAGTTTTTCTTGATGTTTTCTTCCCAGGGAGAGAGAGATCAAATGAAAACTTCAAACTGGAATTAAAATCCACGCCTTGGGTAGAAAAAAAAAATTACGTAATGTACATCTATAGTGAAGGAGACAGTTCAGACAGAATAATACATCACAAAGAAATAATAATAATAAATCACAAAGAAAAATAGGATACATTTTAAGAATGAATAATTCGTTAGCTAATACTATGAGCAAACTGACAAAATAAAGGGTAACTATCTCAAACAACAATACTAATACCAAATAACACAAGTCACACGGATGGTCATAAAGGCCATGAAATAAAAAGTAATCAGAAATTTAAAAAAGGTCCATTAAGTGAATATTGTAATCAAAACTTAACAAAGTCTGTGAAGCCTGTGCAAACGATAGAAAACGATAAAATCAAATAAACTACCAAAAGGAACATCACCTACTGGGATACTGCTTTAAAGTCCTTTTACGAACGCAGGGCAAGATGCTCAGCCGGTATAAACTGTTTCTCCGCCTTGGAAGAATTTATTGATGTTGTCACTAAATAATGACAAGCTGTAATACTCTGGCTTACGGAGGCAAACTGGAACCTTAAAAACACAACATCCATCTCCCCAACGAGTTACACGGCATTTTTCAGACACTTGCCACTCCTGAATTGTCAATACGACAATTCTTCACCGAAAGGGTCTTCTCCCC